TTTATTTTCTGGGGCTTTACTTTCTTCTAAAAAATTATGAAAGCTTTTGTCTTTTGACAGTCATTTATATCTACTGTATTATTTGATTGGTAATGCTCAGGTGTCACAGCAACAAGAGCACAAGGAAGGTCACACAGAAATATGCAGCTACTGCCTTAGTTCAACTGTGCTTTCTGGTTGTCTTGGCATATTTTTTTAGTGTTTCAATTCTTTCAGAGCAAGCTCAAAGCTAATACAAATGAAGCAGCTGTGATTGCATTGTGCTACACTCACATGGAAGGCCAACTCAGACCACTGTGTTATGAAAATGGGAACATTAAGCCAAGCACCTGGCCTGGAACACAGGCAGCTTTCTCTTAGCCAAAGTCAAATTGATAGCATGGTCTAAGTAGACTTGATACAAAACCATAAATATCAAAGTCACTTTATGATAAAATATAAAGAAAGAAGGTTGTTTAAAAAACAAATATAATTACAGGACATCATCATTTTACCATTCTGAATTAAAGTAGCTGGATAACTTACTAGTTTACTCAATTGTCTCCACCACCCCTGTAATATCATTTTAAGTGTAGTTTAAGCAATGTATAAAATATATAAATGCTGTTTTTATTCAAAGGAAAACACAAATATACAAAGATAAAAATCTAGCAAGATGTCAAAGAAAAAAAAAACATGATGCTTTTAAAAGAGGCAAAAAAATTATTCAAATAACTAAAATTGTTTTTGACAAATCTAATGGTCAAAACTCACACCTGTGAAAACATTGTGAGTTTATACATATGTATGACACCTAAAGGGCTCAAAGAATATTCCTGAAAATATCATTAAATAAAGAATTCTATCTAGTTTCAGTTTTCAATGTAAGTAGACACAGTATAAACTACATACATAAAATACCATAGCTCTGAACTCAAAATGTTAATTAAAATTTCTCTTTGTTTAGGAGAACAATCTAACTTCTTCACAGGCACATTCCTTTCAAATAATATCTTATTAAATGATATTAAAATTGGGGCTGGGGATATGGCTCAAGTGGTAACGCGCTCGCCTGGCATGCGCGGGGCGCTGGGTTCGATACTCAGCATCACATAAAAATAAAATAAAGATGTTGTGTCCACAGAAAACTGAAAAATAAATATTAAAAAATTCTCTCTATCTCTTTACAAAATGATATTAAATATTTATTATTCCACTTGATTAGAGACATTATTACTAATAACAAGAGAACAACTGTGAGATAAACTCATTGTACTCATGCATATTTCATCTATTCAACAATTATTTGTTGACTGTTTACTATCTATGCACTTGGGGTTGTAACAGATATTCATTATCCAATGAGGGAAACAGGCCTATAGACAAATAAACAATTGGAATTAAGGTATGTGTAAAGAAATACAGAACGAGGATGGAGGAAGAACAGATAGACTATCCTGAAGATCTATGTTTTTTCCTATGACTATGATTTGATAAAATAAAAATACATTTAAATAGTCCTCAAAACCAAGACCTTGCCTTAATCTATGTGTTCAGGAGCCTTATAATAAGAAATACATATACTCCTGCTGTACTGTTACTTATTTTAAGATTTCATAACTTTTTGTTAATAAGGAAGACATACTAAAGTTTTGAGCTTCCCTCTTGGTGTTCACTGTTCTTATTTCTGACTTATCCAGGATATGAGCAACCTCTGGCCTCTTTTGGATCTCCTTAAAGTAAACCACTACACTAGAAATATTAGCTGAAGGTTTCATGTGTGCTGGCCTTTTTTTTTTTTTTGGTGCTGGACCTTGTGAATGTGCCCACTAAGCTATACCCTCATACCTTGGGCTAACCTTCTATTGAAGAACCTTACTTTATTATTCTAAATTAGGATGGTGATAGTAAGAGCAAAACAGCATTACTTAAGGAAAAAAAAAAAATCAAGTAATTTACCAGTACTTAGTGATATTTACACAACTTGATTCAGTTTTTGAGCCAAAGACAAATGTTTCAATCAATGTATCTCTAATTCTTCAGCAGCCAACATAATTTAGTTAAGCCTGACAAACCCATCACAGTCTTGCCACAACCTCTCTTTCTCGATTCTCTTCTGCCATACTTTTCAAATCCTGTCTCATCAAATCCTTTCTGTTCACCCAGGTCAAAGGTCTCATAATGTTATCTTTGCAAAATGCTATTCCATAAGCCTGGAACACTGTATTTCCCTTGTCAATTATTTTCTTCCAGTCTTTGAAAATCAGTTCAAATATTGTTCCTTGATAAAATCTTGGGTTACATACTATCTTGTTAATGACCTGTGTTACCAGGCTTACCTACTTCTTGGTAAGTCTGAAAATGGAATAGGGAAGAATACGGCCCTTTATGAGAGTATATTGCTTGTTCTTTTAGGAGTCTACTTGATGAGTGGTAAACCTACTGTTCACCATGGTAACAACATCTGAATCCAAGAACCATGAGTACCTGTGCTAAAATATCACTTTTATCTCTTCATAAAACTAATATGGAAATGATCTTTGAAATACTGTTAACTTAAGTATTTCAAAGTTTGGCTTCCTTTTGCATTGCTTTCCCATATTCAGAGTCCATTGTGATATTAATAACAAAATACATTGTGTTGATCTAGAAATAAGACATACTTCTAAATCAGAAATATGTTTAACAAAGAGTCACATTAACTAATAGTGTTACACATAAATTTAAAAAATACAAACATACTTCTACATATATCCAAGTACTGACATGCCTCATTTAGTCAGAATATTTTGGTTTCTCAATGGCAACCTTAAGGGCTATTAACAAATGTAAGTCTGTTTGCCTTTATCCTAAATGGATTCAAATTGTTTTTATGATTTCTTGACTTATATTCTGTTTTTCCCTCTACTTTTTTGTTTGGCTGGTAATCAGTGTATCCTTATGGTTATTTTCCAGAAAACTAACTAGGTGACCGCCTATGAATGGTGGTTAAGACTCCTAGATAGCTAAGTGCCTGAGCTTTGTCACTGCAATTCACTAGTGAAAGGCTTCTTCTTTTTCTCATTCCCTCATTTCTCCTCTCCCCCTCCCCTCCCCTCCCCTCCCTCCCTCCCTCCCTTCCTTCCTTCCTTCCTTCCTTCCTGTGGGGATTGAATCCAAGGGTGCTTTACTACTGAGCTACACTCCCCACCCTTTTTATTTTGAGGCAGAGTCTCACTAAGTTGCTGAGGGTCTTGCTAAATTGCAGACACGGGTAACTTGCAATTGTCCTGCCTCAGCCACCCGAGTCACTGGGATTACAGGTATGCACCACTGAGTCTGGCTCTCTCATTTATTTCTAAGATTACCAAAAGAGTACCTGGTTTGTAAGCAGAACTAGTTTCCACATATGTCCATATCACTGCTTTATAATTTCAGTTAAGAATTATTAGTCTTATTAAGAAAAATGTTAAATTAACTGTCACCTTATTGTTTAAATACATGAAAATTGTGGTTCTTAATTCAAATTTAAAAAGTCTCACCATAAACTTCAGATTTGATATAGGATGTACTTTAATGTCACCATACTGTAGAGAAATATTCTTCTTCATTTATTAACCTTAAAAAATTTAAAGAATTTGCCATTTGCTTCCAGCATGATGGTGTGAAAACATCAAATTCTAACTCAATCTTAACTCAGTTAAGCACATCAGTATAGATTTACTATACTGTTATCTGGTTCATCAGGAAAATAAGAAGAGGGGAAAGAAAAAAAACTGCTGTTTCTATTCATAAAAAAAATAGCTAAGTCTATGGTACAAAAAATTAGTAAAAGACACTAAATCCAATTTTGCAAAATTCCTGTAATAATTTGATAAAAATATTAATCTGACACTTGTGATCTTTTAAAATGAGAAAATGTGTGAAACTTTGAATGGTGTCACAGGTATAGATGTCCACAAATACTATGTGCCCCTAAAGTAAAAGAAGGGGAAATATTGTTCCTCAGAATTACTACAAAATAAAACAACATTTTGGTTAACTTACATACGAATGTCAGCTTATACACCTCAAAATATTTCTGCCCTAAAAGATCATTTCAACTTAAAAAAAAAAATAGTATTGGAATAAAGGAAGAAAGAATGTGCCATATTAACCTGAGAGAATGAAGAGAAAGAAAAATTTTCTTCCAATAGAAAATTTTATTTCTACTGTTTATTGATTTTCATTATACCGAGAATAATGACCATCCTTATGAAGCAATTCTTTCAATATAAATTTTAATAACATGATGTGTTTAGAAAGAAAGTATATTTTTTATCCAATAATCAAATAAAAGAGATGACTTAAAATCTGAATTACTTAATTATATCCAAAGGCACAAACCAGGCCTGAGCCTAGTGCTCAGCTAACTATATCACCTGTGGTCCTTCCATCTCAGCATACTTTTTGTATTTAATATTCTCAGTACTGTTATTGGGTTTAAGGAATTATTGTCTTTCACCGTATTTCTTAAGCACTTAAATGGTCATCTAAAAGACAGCTTAAGCAAAGAACAGGCCATTTCTCAGCATTAGAATTTACAATTCTCTAATTCTTTAAAATTGCTTGGCAACTTTGTGAGTCTCACTACTCTGTGCTTATGATCTAGCTCTAGAAATTTTAAAAAAGAAATCATATCCCTATCTCTAAAAACAGAACTCCCACAAACATTTTCACAGAATTGTGATAGGTTTTCCCTAGCAACTTTGATAAAAGTATAACTGCAAAGATTTACACTCTATAGTTCACAGAAATTAAAATTCAATGTACTTAGTTATATATTTTGGAAATATCCCATGAGTGAAAACAATATTCTCTAAACTCTAATACTGAAAATAGTGGACATTCACCACAGATAATGTAAGCAAACTGGTAACACTATTCTTTAACCTGGATATTGTAAAGAAACTCTTGAGGTATAAAATGTTTGGGTTTTTTTAGCAGCTGTCTTTAATAAGAAAGGAAAAAAGCAAAATATTTTAGAGAAAAGAAACACTTACTGGTACTTTGAAGGGTGAGGTATTTGCAGTGTCCATGGAATTGGGTTTATCTGATGTACTGGTCCCTGAGATACTCCGTCTACGGGGAGACCTTTCTGCTGGCACCTCTGGAAAAGAGGAAAGTTGAAACATCATTAACTAAGCACCCAACTTAGCAGCTTTCACCAAACTGTAAAATTAATGGTTTCTAAAAAAAAAATCTACTTTAAAGATTAATTACATTTTATCTCCTCATAATTTGTCTCTTTTTCTTTGTGGCATTTGACATTAGAGAGACTTGGTCAAAGTTAAAAATCTGTTTTAGTGTGACACCTTATATCTTGTTTTGTGTAATATAAAAATAATTGCCCAAGTTTTGGTTAATATCTTTAAGCTCACTTAATATTTGCATCTTTTAGTATAAAAATCTACTTCTTTATCAGCAATATAGGAGTTAACAGAATCAAAAGAAATTTCTAATATTCTTGTGAACAAAATATAGTCTAGAGTTGCATATGATTTGATGGGGTTTGCACAAAGGTCAAAGTTCGGTTCTGTGCTGATAAAATAATTCACTGGATTGCAACAAAGAAGACTGAAAGCTGATGCCAGGATAAAATAATATATATGCCTATGCAGATATAAAAATAGATCAGCTTCTCCTTGTTCTGGCAATATGACCTTACTAACTGAGATCTTACTCTGGAATCACAAATCTGTTTAAACTGGCCTAACAAGCTTAGAATTTTGCAGATGATATGATCTTCTCCAATTTAATTACTATAAACTGTACTAAGGCTGCATTTTAAGATTTTTTTCATAGAGCAATATATATACGTATACACACACATATATGCACATACACATGCACACACAGAAGATATATACATATTATACCTTTATCACAACTGCTTCCCATCTCCACTTCAACTGACAGACATATAGGAATCCAGCTTCTCAGATAACATTAGATAATCTCAACATGGACAAGGGAAAAAAAAAAAAACCCACATCCTAAAAAAAGTATTCTGTGTTATCTTCCAGATCTTAAAAAATACGGAGTAAATCGTGACTCCGGAGACTGACATTTTGATTCCTGCTGTTCTCCCTTTAAAAGATAGATGCAGTTTAAACTTCCATTTCTGGCCTCCTGGCCCCTGGGATCCGTGCTACTTCCACTTAAGAGAAAGCATTTTTTCTCTCGCTCCCTCCCTGTCTTGCTCTTCCCCCTCCCTCTCTACAGCTTGCAGAGAGAGCAAGCGAGAAAGAAACACACAGGACTGCAGCTATTCATTCAATCAATCGTTTCGACTGCACATCCTCATTAGTTACTTTCAGGCTATTAACAGACGTCCAACCACTGCCTCCCCTCAGTTTCAGAAAATTTCACTGTATTACACTAATCTGCAGCAAGAAAAAAAACATTTCCTGAAATTTATATTCACCTAGTACTAAAAAGACACCATCTTACACAGACCCAGTAAGGCACACAAATCAATCCTCCTAAGAAAACCCAACTGGAAGTGCTTACCCTATTACTATTTGCATGCCAGACACTGATACTCTTTTCCATGACTAAAGGTATCTGCTCTGTGACATCTTGGCCAGAAAGATAAGAGGCAAACTGCAACATTCCTAATGGCTGAGAAGTTAACAAAAGCGTGTCTTATATGCCTGCAGTATAAGAATTCCATGTTATTGCTCTTTTTTAAAATTATGACCAATAACTGTAAGTCTCTCAACTTCTGTCTAACCGTCAATGGGTAAATGAGCCTTAATGTACGAAGCCATTTTTAGAATTAGGCACACATGACTTCTAACGCACATCTCTGAAAAAATGGCAGTATAATTAGCTCAGATTCATGGGAATGGCACAAAGGAATTTAAGCAAATCAGCTTGTAGAAGCACACTGAACAGCAAGACCTTCATACTTCAAGAATATGATTTTACAGAGTGATTACCTAAGTTAGGTGATTCTATGATGAGTGGACAAGACAGGTGGGGAAAGGAGCTGGTGAGTGTAGAACACTTTTTTCCTCTGATAATTGCCTATAAATATCAAATTAAGATACACTAGACTATTACAGTATAGTATGGCATATTTTAATCTCTAAATAATTTACAATAAAATCAAACTAGGAGAAAAATAAGTTTCATTAAGGTAGGATACAGTGATCCAGTAAACAGTTTCCTTTATAAGCAATGTTCTGGATAAAGAAAAAAATTGAACCTAATTTTGTCACTTTTTCCCAACCATGTTATTCTAGATTTCATGCATATGAACCTATGAAGTAAATATATCTAATACTTAAACTATTTGAAATGATAGTGGCTAAAATGAGCAACTACATTCAAACTCTAATAAATATGGCATTTGTTGTACTTTTTTTTCCTCTTTCAATTCTCACATGGTATCATGAAAAAATAAAATCACAACTCTGTTGTAGTTTATAGGATGTTACTGAGTCCAGAGGAAGAATAAAAAAAAAAAACTTATTTTGGGAGGGGTGGGTACCAGGGATTGAACTCAGGGGCACTTGACAACTGAGCTACATCCTCAGCCCTATTTTGTATTTTATTTAGAGACAGGGTCTCACTGAGTTGCTTAGGGCCTTGCTTTTGCTGAGGCTGGTTTGAACTCAGATCCTTCTGTCTCCTCCTCTAGAGCCACTGGGATTACAGTGTACCACCATGCCTGGCATCAAATTATTTTTGAAGACTGAACAATTGCCACTATGGTGGGAAAATAAAGGAAATGAGGTAAGCTAAATCAACTAGCGAAAAGAAGAAATACTTTACATTATGTCTATTTCTCAACCCTCCATAGCACTGCAATTTATATCCTAATATAAAACAGGCCTTTGAAATATCCAGGTTCTTTAGTGCTCAGAAGAGTTATCCCCTAAAAACCAATGTTCATTGAGAAACAAGGTGGCAGCCTTCCTTGTCAAGGACAGAATGGACAACCTGCTGGATTAGTCATAGGCAGGCCTGTATGTGAAATCAGTCCTAATACCTTTAACTTTAAATTTCCAAGCAGAAAAAGAAAGCTGTTACTATTCTCTTAAAGCTACATTTCTGCTAACTGGAGGGAAAATCTCTACTAATTCCAGTAGGCCAACATTAGAGAGTGCTCTCCCCACCCTCACATGAACTTGCACTGCCTTTCACCTTCTGTAAAGTTCCTCTCAGAGTCACAATATTTAATTATAATCACTTTCTATAATTGAGACAAGAGACACACAATATTGTTTCAGTAGATAAAAGTCTGAAAACTGCTTCATTTGCTATTTCATCCTTTAAAAATAATATTTTCATCTTCACATTGAAAGGCAGAAAAAACTTATATAATACCTGGTTAAGTTTTAAAGTTATTTCTTCATTTCCTTTGCCACTGAGTATGAACTAAGATGTGGTGACAATTTATGACGATGAAATATAACTTCAACATGGATCCATATTAGATGATGTATTGAACAAGAAAAACAAATTATTTGATTGCTTTTCTTAGTACCTCTACCAACTATCTATGTGATTTTGTTAAAACCATATCACCTTTCCTATCCTGGTCCTCATCATTTAATAGACTAGATAATTCAGACCAATCAGAGATGAAGACAAGATTAGGTTTATATATACCATGATGCAAAATTAGCTTTTTGGAAAAAAGGGGCTCCCTAATGCCAAAGTGAAGTAGTATTATAATGGATGCCATTTCTTTAACATACATATTTTCCTTTATGTCAATGTGCTTTCTTTGCAAAGTATGGCAAAGAAAGTGACAATTGAATAGGAGCAAATGTACTTTTTTTTTTTTTTTTGGTACCAGGGTTTTTTTTGGGAGGGGTGGGGGAGGGTTAGGGCACTCAACCATTGAGCCACATCTCCAGCTCTTTTGTTGTATTTTATTTAGAGACAGGGTTCTCACTGAGTTGTTCAGTGCCTCGCTATTGCTGAGAATGGCTTTGAACTCAGGATCCTCCTATCTCAACTTCCCGAGCCACTGGGATTACAGGCATGGGCCACTATGCTGGCCTAAAGGTACTCTGATGAAGGAATTATCTGTTCAACAAACAGAAGTCAGCCTCTCCTTTAAAACCTAATAGTGTATTCATGGTCTTTAGTTCACTTATCAGGAAGTAAATGCCAAAAAATTCCTGAATGTTTTATAAGGGAACAAAATAATTACGTATTTGGGAGAACCCTAAAAGATTAGTTTCCTGGGAGATAGTGAATTCAAAATTATTATTTTCTTCTTTCTGCATTTGCTAAAGTTTTACAATAAAATGTATTGCTATGATTTTTATTTTGTTTAAAAGCATACCATGTTGTTTTTTTTAACCCACAGATCCCCATTCTTTATCCCTGTACTTGACATTTGATAGGTGCTTAAAAACATTTGTTAAATGAATAAATATTAAGAATGTGGCTAAAAAATAAGAACAGTACCATAAAATATGAAAGAATTAAAGAATTAAATTTTGCTCCTAGCTTCATTCTCCATGGGCAATTCTGATGAACCAAAAGAATTTTATTTTCCCAACTATTAACATCTTTAAGCTATCAAAATGCTCTAGCTTTCCAGTACCATGGCTGTTTTGGACTTGCACAATGACTTAACTATTCTTTTTAGTAACTAGATATGTCATTTCTGATATTTTTCTTTAAAATTTAACATATGTGCCACGTTTCCTCTCAAGATTGTTATTCTTGGCTAGCTACTTGAAGGTAGGACAATTACTACAGTTCTTTTGTACCTACTACCATCAAACGTATCTTTCCTTTTACAACTTATCCTCACCACCATCCCAGCCCTATTCAAGACACTAAAGCATAGGAATTTAGAATATTTCTGAAATTCCATTGAAATCTAATGAATTCTTGTGAAAACACATTTCTTAACAAGGTAAAAATAATCAGTTATATGTGTATGTGTACACTGCATGTGTGTTTATTTATATTATATAAGAACTCATTTATTAATTCATCTAATTTTCACTGAATGTCCACTATGTACTCATATCAGAAATGTATGCTTTTGTGAACTTATATGAAGTTAGGTTAGCAAACAATATATGATATTGCATATTGGAAGGTGATAAGTGTTTTAGAGGAAATAAAGTAGTG